CCCGCCACGGCGTGTGCGTTCAGCATTCACTAACGTCAGAGTAATCAAAGCACATAAAATATATGCATATTTATTTATGTACATACACCTGCGGTCTAAATAACAGCAACTCAACATTTTGACCAATTTCGTATATTTTTGTTTTTTTTATTTTTTTTTTTTTTTGTAAAAGTCTAGCTTATTATATTGCATTACAAACTTGGTGCAAAAATACTGTAAATTCCAGAAATTTTCATAAAAATTTCAAACTTCTTATTCAGAATGTTTTAGAAAAATTTAGCTATGCAGTTTTATAGGACATTAATTTCGCATTGCTTTTTTATAATTTTTTTTGCTGACGTTGTTGTGTATTTCTTTCATATAAAAAAATTTCGATCAGCAAAAAAAAGCAGACTTATCGAAAGGTCCTATACTGGCGGTAGAAATAATAGAAACGCCTTATTTTGACCAGTTTCGGCTATATTTGTTTTGTTTACTAATGGCCTTATTCATAAGATTTATAGAGCTCTATAGTGTCATTTTCATACAAATTTTCCATTTATAAAGCAGTTATATCATTATGAATTTTGGTGTAAATGTTTAATATTTTTTTCTGAAAGTCTAACTCATAACTAAACTACATACATACCCTGCAGTGAAACCCCAAACTAGTCGGGAAAAATACAACATAGTTTACAACTAGAATTTCCTGATGGAAGCCGAACTAGTTCGAAAATTGTCAGACTTGTACCAAGTACAAAACGATTTATTCACGCACTGTTTTATTTGACTTCGACAGTTTAATACAATAGAGTACACAAAATATTATAACTGTTATTTGGGTATATTGTAAACCGTTTAAGCGAGTACGTACTCGCAAATTTGCCATACCTGTTAAATAATAATTAATACATATTCATAATGATTATAAAGCATGTTTTTTTGGATAACCGTTTAATAATTAAATACCGATTTTAGCACCTTTTTAATGATTAATAATTAATTACTTAAACACAATTTTTTAATAACATCATTATTTTGTTGTTTTTGATAATATTGAATTATTTTTGACTTTTTTTAATTACGCGATTAACGTAATTATTTGATTAATTTCAACTATCAATCAACAAGCCAAATTATAGACAAAAATTAAGAATATTTAATAACTGCTTGAATTATTTATTTATTTTATTCCTATCCAAATCTTAAATTTTAAACATTAATTATTACTTTTAAGAAATTTTAAAAACAAAGAACTGAAATGTGCAATGAATTTAATTTATGTTAAAGAAAACTTTTATTTTTATTTTAGTTCACTCAAAAATGAACTAAATTATTCGTTTTATTGCTAAATAAAATGTTTTATTTTCCATATTCAAATTACTAAAAAAGATAAAAATACTGTATTAATTCTACCTAAACGCTTTTACTTGTAATATCATTTAAGGAAAATGCATTTAAATTTATGTTTGAAAGTTTAAAATACTTATGTATCTATTTTTCCTTTTAATTAATACTCAAAAATTTTAACACTAATTATTAGCAAATCCAAGGCTGCTAAATAAAAATGTGTAATGTATTAAAGTGTACTTAATCAAAATTTTTTTTTTGCATATTCATGAACTTATTTTATTTTTTGACATCCAACATAATTGGACTAGTATTTTTCTGTCTGTTTTTAACTTGTATGAGACTGGTATATTTCTGACAGAAATCTGACAATTGCCATCTCGTAAGACATCCCCATGTTAAAAATACCAGTTGATTGTATGGAAAAAGGATAGTTGGCTGACTAGTTGGACATGCGGTTCATATACTAGTTGTGAGGTAGTTTCCAACTAGTACATTTGACTACAGGGTATGTAGTTTATACATAAATTACAAAATGACTTTTTAGACTTTTATAAAAAAAATGCTTAACATTGAAAAACAGAAGTAATGTAAACAAAACAGATCAAGTGGCGTTTGTATTATTTACTACTAATTTTTTTGCGAAATTAAGTCTTTTGCAAAAGTTGACAGATCACTAATTAGCTACATTAGTATATACATATATGTACATATGTTAATTTTTAATATAATTATCGCATTACATATTAAATTAGTCTTATACCGATTTCGTTTCTACCGAAAATCCAACCTTCTATTTGCCCTTTCCTTGCCCTCACTACGAAGAGGGCGATGAAAAAGCGACATTTTTTGTAGAAACGAAATCGCCATTAAAAATCGCATTCGCATCATATGATACGAATGTTTTGCGAATGCGAATGTGTACATCGATAGGGAGTCCACTCTAATATTGTTGATGTGACTCTTGTTCTTGTGAAAAAGGAGCACAACGCGTTCCATTATTTTTTGAGGATAAAGTGAGGCAACAGGCTCAAGATGTCAAAATTCCTTAGACACACATATGGAATAATGGAAATTTTTTCTTGACCGTTTTCTTGAGAGCTGCATACTGGCCTTAAAAGTGCAGCCGGCCTTATATACGAGCCTCTAAGAAATCGCCTCATGAGGGAAATGGCAGCAAAATTACTGTTGTTTGAAATATGATATGCACCTTTTGAACTTTGACTTCTAGATTACAACACTGTACAGGTTAAGCACTCGTTCAATGTTCTAATAATTCTAAAAAAAATTTAAGTAATAAAAACGATTGCTTAAGTTGAGTATAGCTTTTTTAACAGGG